GCCCCAAGCCCTGTGGCAGGTCAGAGTATCAGCTCAATGAATTGTGAGCATACGTGGAGTTCACATAATGCACATTAGCTAAGCTATACCCTGGGTCTGATCTCCAGGCTCAACACTATGTGCTCTAATGGAATAATAAATAATAATAAAGAATATTACAAAGGAGGAATATGGCAAATGCCATGGAGCCAGTAGGACAGATATCTGTAATCCTACCTAATAGTTATAAGACCTTCTTCTGGACCAGATGTTGTGCAAGGTGCTGTTAATATAGTATCTCACTTAATACTCGTCAAAACCCCTTAGAGAACACTATTACTGCGCACATTTTACAGATGAATGAACCAGGCATTTTCCCCAAGGCCACGTGCTGGCGATGGTGGAGTCAGATCTGAATCCAGACCCTGGGAAACAGAACCCACACATGAAAGCTGCCCTATGAGAAGAGGGCAAGCTTGGGTATCAGGATCAAAGGCCAAGACACAGATAGCAATTAGGACAACATTAAAGCAAGAGCGACGATGGGAGCCTGAGAATACCCTAAGCTCCTTGCCCTTGGTCGTTTGGAAACAGGCGGAGCATGTTCGTGGTATGTTAAGTACATGTTTTTAAATAGAAACCATCCTTCATTAACTGTGTGCTATGTCAGTAGTTAGATCGAATCGTTTGACAACTGGAAAATAAATAAATAGCTCATTGTGATAAACATAGGCCTGGGCAAGGAAAACAAAATGAATCAGCACCGGCGCCAAAGGAATGCCTCACAGAGCAAGAGAAATGCAAACCAAAGCGAATACTTGACAGTCCTTTTTCCAGTAAGCACCTTTCCTTTTTTTCCCTAAATTCTAAAGTGTCTCTGCCCCTGTTATTACAAGTGTGCCACAGATGCCCTGCCCTCTGGCAGAGGACTAAGGGAATGTCAGTGGGAGTGGAGGATGACTAGAGGAAAGAGGAAAAGGAAAGAGAGAGAATTCCACCCATTGCCAGGAGCTGTTGCTATCCATTGGAGGGTATTCAGTGCCTGTGTATTAAAGTCCAGCAGGGGGCCCGGAAAGAGCCCAGCGCTGGGGATATTGGCGGGAGCACCGCAGTCACTCCTCCTAAGAGCTCCGGCCTGTGGTGGATATTGACAAGGAACTGGGCTCACCAACTCAATCTGAAAGGCCAGATGCAGTGGGAGCCCCGGGGAGTGAAGGAGGCTGCCCTGAGGAAAAGAAATCTACATGAAATCTGCCGGGGCAGCATTGGGGGACCCATCTTAGCAGAGGGAACAGCAATACACAGGAAAGAGCCGGGGTCAGCCCACATGGCTCCGTGGCTGAGCGTTGGCCTAGGAGCCAGGAGGTCACAGTTCAACTCCCAGATTGTTAAAACAGAATTATAACCAGCTGGCTTCCAGAGTTTGCTTCTGATGAATCTATTCTGCTTTTGTTGATACCATGTTTTTGTTTCGTTTTCTTTGTTTTCTTTTTCTTTTTTTCCAGTGCAAAAGCAGGCAGGAGGGGGTAAAGAAATAACAAACGAATGAAACAATTAGCAAACATTATGTTGTGATGGAAAGAGAAGTTAGGCTTATCACCAACCTTCAACTGACCGGCCTATTCCTTCCTTCTTTGTGGTAATTGCCAAAAGACTACAAAGAGCAGGTGCACTCTCCTTCGTTTACGTTTAGCTCCTCTTTCCAGAGTCTCCCTGCCTACTTCAAAGCGGGGAGGGATGTCAGGGCACTCACTGTCCCTGGTGATTGCTCAGGCAGTAAGCCTTTTATCCCGCAGGCAGGGGGGTGGGGAGGGCGGGAAGGAGATGTGGAAAGTTGCATGTTGATGTTTGGACCTTCTGGCGGTGAGTTTGGAAGCCCTGGAAATGGCATGTGTTGATTATCCTCAAGAATGCTGAGAACAGCCTGTTCTTCTGTGGCCAGGAGCGGAGTGAGACAGGACAGGTAGGTCAGGACACAGCCTCCCAAGCAGATGCTTTGTAAATGTTTGTACAGATTGCATCTGTCTGTGGACAGAGGGGTTTTTAAAGTTATCTCACAATAAACTGAGCTGGTTTCAACGAGTTCCTCTCGGACACCAGCAATGAGCTCTCAGATCCTCCCTCCCGAGACCCCGGAAGTCCAGGTCATAGCCAGATCCGTAATGGACTTCTCGGTCTGTGAAGCTATCTGCTCAATTCTCTTGACTTCAGGGCCAAAATAAGCTGTTCGTTATTTACAGAAAATATAGAAAAAGAGGTAATTTTTTTTTTTAAAGATCAGCACAACTTGTGCTCAGTTCCAAGAATGGCAACTTACATTCTCAAAAGTGAGCCCCCTCTGGAGGAGAGAAGATAAAATCTTTGCTTAACCCTCTGAGCACAGCGCCTAGCCACCTGCCCATGGTCAGCCCCCGTGGGCTGTTCCCGTTTTTATTGTTGCTGCTGGAGCCAGTTGGCCTGGCACCGTGAAAGGGGCCCAGGATGCCAAGTTGTGTGGAGCACAAGCCGCTGCACAAGGCGCTCACTGTGTGAAGAGGAAGACAGTCACCACAGGTTTGCACTGCGCCAGGCTCAGACCCAGAGCGGGCACCGGCCCCTGAGGGCACAGGGCGGAAGCGGGCTCTCTCTGGGAAAGAGGGCGCATGCACCGCAAAGCCACTGCAGCCAGTCTTCCTGAAAGGGCGACCAGACGCCTAAGCACTCTTTAAGGCTGAACTTGGCAAGCTTTTATCAACTGTCCGTCTAGAATCTCATCTGTATGAAAGTTCCCTGCCGGCATCCAGTGGCCACCCAGAGCACACTCACTCATTCGTGAACTCTCCGCCCAGAAACGCAGATATTCATCACTGCTGGACCCTGTCCTCGCGCAAAAGCTAAGGAAACTTTATTAGCAAAGATGGTGCTGGGCTGCAGAAACACTCTGATGTCCTACTAGGCATTGGCGATGGTCCCTTTCACAGACAGGAAGGGCTGGCCAGGGCTCAGACTTCTATGCGTCTCACACAGAGCTCCTTCAACCCAGCGCAGATGCCTGGGAGGAGTCTGCCCTCAGAGGTGCAATTTCTTTTTATTTATTTAATTGATTAATTAATTTTAATTTTTATTGATTATGATATCACATAATTGTCCTCAGCCCCCCATTCCCATCCCAAACTCCTCCTCACATATGCCCCCATCTCCCTATTGTCCATGGCCACCAGCCAGGCCTATAGGCATGCACACAAGTCCTTTGGTTGATCTCTTCCCCTTACCCCCACCCTCCCCTGCCTTCCCTCTGAGGGTTGAAAGTCTGATCGCTGCTTCTCTTTCTCTGGGTCTGTTTTTGTTCATCAGGCGAACGCACCTGGCAGGGACAGGTCTGGGGGACCAGGACCAGCCCGGGGCCTTCAGGAACCCAGGCTCCCGGTGTCCCAGCAGGACACTGTGGTTCCCGGCCACCGGCTGCCCTCAGCGCCTGGAGCGCACCGGGTACCTCCCCATCCCCAGCCTCCTCGCCGGAGCCTCCCGGCCTGAACACACACCGCGGGGACCGTGCTGTCGAGCACAGTGGGTGTTGGGGGCGCTGGAGCCGGGGGTGCGGGGCCCCGCGCGCAGAGGCACCCGCTGAGGCACCCAGTCCCTCCGCGCTCCCGCCCCCTCCCCGCCCCCCGTTCCCCGAGTGGCGCGCGCCCCGTGCGTGGGGTTCTGGGCGGGGAGGGGCGGGGCGCGCGCTGGAGCCCCGCCCCTCCCCGCCCCCGCCCGCGGAGATTGGCAGACCTCGGGCGCCGGCCCCAGCCAATGAGCGCGCCCCGGGGCGGGCCCTGGCGCCCGGGCTCCGGCTACTTAGCGCCGCCGCCTCCGCGGGGCCCAGAGCCAGCCGGACCGAGCCGGTGAGCGGGCGCCCAGCCCGGCCGACCGCAGGCGGAGGGGCTCCGAGCCGGCGCCCCACGCACGGCCCGTCCCGCGCGGGCACCGCGGAGCCGCCCGGGCCCCCCCGCCGCCGCCGCCGCCGCCTCCGCAGCGCCCATGGGGACCCGGAGACTTTGAAGGAGTTTGGGTTCCGGGAGCAGGGAAATCACGGGTACGGAAGGCGCCTTCTCCTTCGCCTGGGAGACGCTTTCTCTTCGATGGTTTGGACCCTGCGCCCGGTAGGAGGGAGAGGGATGGGGGCTGTCCGGGGGCTCCCCACGCGATCCACACGCACACGCGTGCACCGCACCGGCTCCCCCTGCCTTTGTTCGGTGGTTTTAGACCGAGCAGCCTCGCCCTGCGCGGCCGGACCCCCGGACCCCCGTGCCGGGGAGCAGCCGGGGGAGCAGCCGGGGGAGCGGGGGGCGGAGCGCCGTGGCCAGAGGTTCCCGCGCCCGGGTGCAGGTGGGCGGGGAGGCGGGCGAGCACGCGTGGGCCTGGGACTGTGCGAGCGCGGGGGTCCGAATGCGCCCTCGCGGAGGTTTGCCTTTGTGTGCGAATGTGGCACCACCGCGCCGGGGTGCCAGCCTGTGTCTGGGCTCCGAGGGTGCCCAGGGAAGGTGGCTGGTGTGGAGGAGGCGCCGGGACTGTGTCCCATTGTCATTGTGCGGGACGCCGGCGGGGAAGGCGTGCGACCCGGTGCGAACGGAGAGGTGGGCTGGAGAGGGCGGGGACGGCATGTGAGCCAGCTCCGGGCCTCGGGCGCCCCTTCTCCCTGCCGATGGGTCCCTCCACCCTTGCCTGGGGGTCGGTCTCCAGCGATGCCACCACCACCCACCCACACTGTCCTCCCCACTGGGACCCCGCACGCCCTGCAGCCCGTGCGAGTTGCACCCAGTCAGTGCCCGGAAGGAGTCCCAGCCGTCCGCGGCAGGTGATTTGGGTGCCAGGCCTGCCCCCTGGGGAGACACCAGAGATCGGCAGGGACTGGAGAGAGGTCCCCTGGGCGGGCGGGCAGGTCCCAGGGGCACCGATCGTCCCCCCCGGGAGGGCGCAGCCAGCCTCTGATCGCGCCTCTGCTCCTCTGGCCCCGCAGGTCCCCGCTCCCGGCCCCCGCCTCGCGTGCGTCCTTGATGGGCAACCAACTGGACCGCATCACCCACCTCAGCTACAGCGAACTGCCCACGGGGGACCCCTCGGGCATCGAGAAGGACGAGCTGCGGGTCGGGGTGGCCTACTTCTTCTCGGATGAGGAGGAGGACCTGGACGAGCAGCGCGGCCAGCCGGACAGGTTCGGAGTGAAAGCGGCGCCGCTGGCGGGGTGCGCGCCCTGCCCCGAGAGCCCCGGCCGCCACCTCCACCTCCACCCGCACCCCCACCACCTGCTGCACCAGCTGGTCCTCAACGAGACCCAGTTCTCCGCCTTCCGGGGCCAGGAATGCATCTTCTCCAAAGTGAGCGGCGGCCCGCAGGGCGCCGACCTGAGCGTGTGCGCCGCCAGCGCGCTGCCCGCGCTCTGCGAGCCGGGCGACCTGCTGGAGCTGCTGTGGCTGCAGCCGGCGGCCCGCGAGCCGCCCGCGCCCCCGCACTGGGCCGTGTACGTGGGCGGCGGCCAGGTCATCCACCTGCTCCGCGGCGAGATCCGCCAGGACAGCCTGGGCGCGGCGGGCGCGGCCAACGTGGGCCGCCTGGTCTCTAGCTGGTACCGCTTCCGGCCGCTGGGCGCCGAGCTGGTGGTGCAGAACGCCCGCGGCCACCTGGGCCTCCGCAGCGAGGAGATCTGCTGGACCAACTCGGAGAGCTTCGCCGCCTGGTGCCGCTTCGGCAAGCGCGAGTTCAAGGCGGGCGGCGAGGCGCCGGCGGGGCCGCCCCCGCCGCAGCAGCAGTACCAGCTGCAGGTGCACCTGGGCGGCGGCAAGGTGCACAGCGCGCGCTTCCCGCGCCTGGAGGACCTCATCCGCGAGCGGCGCCGCATCGACGCCAGCGGCCGCCTGCGGGTGCTGCAGGAGCTGGCCGGCCTGGTGGACGAGGACGACAAGGAGTAGCCGCCGCCCGCGCCCCCGCGCCAGCCTCCCTTCCCGCGCCGGGCGCCCGGCCGAGGATTCGCCACCTCCGGCCTCTCTGCACCTGCCGCCGCCCCGGGGGCCGGGGCCCAGGTTGCCTCCCCTGCGAACCCCTCTGGCCAGCGGCGTGAAGTCGCAGGAACTGGCCGGGGACTGGGATGGGACTGGGCTGCGAAGACAGCTGAGTGCAGCTGGGACCCCCTCCTCCTCCCCGTTTGGGGGGCGGTAATCCTGCTGGGAAGCCCCTGTGTTTCCCCCGGAGTTAGAAGGGCGGGAGGGAGAGTGGGCTGAGTGGAGCAGGGACTCGATCGCCCCCTCCCCCCCGAGTCTCTGCTCAGAAACGATCTCCCTGCCGAGAGAGAGGCACCATCACCGCCCCCCAAACGCAGACTCACGGGAAGCCCTGTGGGAGGCGAGGATGGGTCTTTTCCAGGGGCAGTTCACTCCGGTGTGGATGTGTTTCCAGATGGCAGGATTTCCAAGAAATCGAGCCTGTCCCTTAAGCACTTGTGAATCATTCCACCGGGGACTCCAGGTCACTCCGAGGCCGCCTGGGTGGGAATGTCCAGCCCTCCAGCCCCCAGGCTGCTGATTTGGGATTCCAGGCTGAGCTAGGCAGTATTGTTTCCTATGGTTTTCACCCAGGGACGCCCTCCCCGCCCTGCATCCCCTGCGAGACCCCAGCCTGACAGCAGGGGGCCTTCCTGGTCCCCCTCACGGAGGGAACTGGCCCAGCTAATTGGGGGGGGGGGGACGCGCAGGCCCCGCCCCAGGCAAGGAGAAGGGCCCTTGTTGCTCGTCACCCTGGATTGCTCCCTCCTTGGGCTGCGTTTTAAACATCATCCTGTTTTTAAAGGGATTGGGAGAGAGGGAGAGAGGGACGTGGCAGCATTCCAGAAACCAGCATTATGACAATGCCATAGCCAGTCTGTTCCTTTGGCTTTTCCTAAAGCTAGAAATCTCAGCAGGTGGAGAAGTGCAAATAAAGTTTTCAGAAGGAGGGGGCAGCGCTCCAACGATGTCAACCAAGCATAACGTGTTGATGTTTTTATTGACCATTTTAGCAACAGGCTAATAAAATTTCAAATTGAAATTTTTATTTTCATGGCTTTACTCCATGATAGTTTCAATACTGGGGGCCATTGCAAGTGGACTTAGCTACGAGCATAGCTAGCGAGCATTGCCTTTTCACTCTATTTTTCTCAAATCCTTTGAGAAGTCTGTTTTTGAATATTGTTTCTTTAAACAGCAGCCCTTAGTCCTGGTGGAGTTGCGAACTCATGTGAATGTTGTGCTGGATTTCTGCCAGCGAAGGGGTTTCCAGCAGGTTCCATGACGTTCCTTTTCTAGGTGGTGTAAACCATTCCATGTTTCCATTTCTATTCTTCCTCGCTCCCTCCATCTCCTTTTAACAAATGAATCTAGAGTTAGTGGCTTTCCCCCTTCTCTGTGGTGGGTCCTGCAAGGCATTCCTGAAACACCAGGAAAGATTTGTAGGATCTGGACAAACGTGTTTTTCAAAACATTAAGGCTGTGTGAGACCCCTTCCTTGGGCAACAACTTCCCACCTTCGCTCCCTGCTCCGCAGCCCAGCCGATGGACTATCGCTTACGGATTCAGTGCGTGTCCGACATCCACAGCGTCTGCGTCCCTGTCCAGGGAATTTGTCAAATGATGGTGTTTAGCTAATCATCGCGAGCAATTGCCTATTGACTGCTGTGATTTAGTTGGACAGCAAATATTGTGGCCAGAGCCAGTTTCTCGGCATTTCCAAACGAATGCAATAAACACCAGCGGACGTCAGCTGAGACTGGAACTGCCTCTTCCGTGGTCAGTGATTGGTTTCTGTTCTGGGTTTGGGTTTTCATCCTGGAGTCATTCCCTGATCTTGAATCAGAAGGTCAGGCCCATGGACTATGAACTAGAGTATTTTTCTTACAGCTATCGAGTGATTTATTTTTTAAGAAAATGTTTTAAATGCATACGCTTTCCTTTCTGCACATACAGTGGCCAAACTTTTGTACTAGCGCACTCCCCTTTGCATGTACTCAAGAGTCCTGGAGTCCCCTCCCTCTGCCTCTTCCCAAGAACAGATGGCCGATCGCCACCGTGACCCGTGACTGTGTGTGCACACACCACGTTCTTATGTGCCCTCCTGTGCTTGGCTCTCTGCTGCATTAAACACTGTCCTCAGCAATGGCTCCAACAGGATTTCTTGGCATTTTGTCCTCCAGTTGTCACTCAGAGGGTGGGTGGGACTTCAGATTTACTTCCTCTGATGGCACATAACCTGACTTGTCTCTTTAAAATGTTTTTATTGATTTCAGAGAGGAAGGGAGATGGAGAGAGAGAGATAGAAACACCCATGATGAGAGAGAATCATTGATCGGCTGACTCCTGCATGCCCCCTTCTGGGGATTGAACCTGGCAATCAGGGCATGTGCCCTTGACCAGAATTGAACCTTGGATTCAGTAGGCAGGCTGATGCTCTATCCACTGAGCCAAACTATCAAGGACTGATTTGTCTCTTAAGAGGATCCCTCAACAGAGGAATGGCTTATCAGCTCTAGACTTGCTGAAACTATACTGGCAAAAGACAAAAAGGGGAGGGGGGTGGCAGCCAACGTAGCATTCAGGACTTCATTGCCAGTTAAGAATTGAGTTGATGACACTAATAGTAACACACTGGTTCCACGGGGAACGTGAAAAGTTTATAAGGTTTCTCAGAGTCCTGTTGAAATAATCATTATCTGTGGGCCAGTGTTAATAGCAGCTGGTGTCAGAATAATTCTAAGCACAGTGCATGTGGATAAGATATCAGAATACCATCCAATAGCTTTCTCCTGAAATACCTGTATATTGTGAGGGCAGAAATGATGGCAGTGAAACCAAGAAGCCAGACATTCCCTCTGAAGGTGGCAGGGCCCACTGAGCTCTCCTGAGGAGTGGCTGTAACGCCTCTGGGTTGTATCAGGTGAGAGAAATGGAGCCTGAAGCCCCCGGCATGGAGTAGAAGCCAGGCATTCAGTGTGGGTTTCAGTTAGCACCAAGCGGCAGAACTTCCCGGGAGCTTGGTGACGCGCTGAGTGAGGCTGAGATGGGGGCTCAGGAAAGACTAAAACTATCCTTGTACCTCTGCCCTCTCTCCCCTTTCAGAGCATGCTTCTGACAAAGTAAGTTACTAAATAAATATTTTTCTCCAAGAATTGCATTGCCACACATTTTGTTATTTATTTTTTAAATATGTGGGGGGGGGGAGTAGAGGAGGGCGGCTGAGCATACTCTAAATGAACCAGCCTGAAATGCTGTTATTCCCTAACTGTATTTCTTTGTTGTTGTTTTTTTTAAGAAATCCTATAGAAGTTACATGTATTTCATTTATTTTTCAAAGAAATTAAAAGTATATCAATGAGCCAAATTTATATATATAAAGTTCCTCAATATTTAAAATTGAAGTACCTGTCATGACTGTTTCATTACAAAAGAGAGATACAGATTCCCTTATGGTTAGAAAGCAGTTGTGCCAGATCAGAACATCAAACACGGAAGCAGCCAGAAGTTCAAAGATATTAGTTGATGGGATTCGATTTTTTAAAATGTTGATGTTTATCGTCCTCTTTGTTTTATTTCTAAAATGAACACTTTTGTTTGAAGAATGACTTTTTTCCAGAAAAGCATGCTATTGGGGTTTACAGACTAATGCATTACCTGAATACTTAGTCTGCCCTAAGGGTCCTCAAAGATTACCTTCCCGATTATGTCCTGTGTGTGTATTCAGCATTCCCTGAGACTTGAGTGTCAGGCTTCTTATGAATGGAGGGGGTCTAGTTTCACTGCAACTAACAGGAATTGCACAAACAAAGCAGAGCAACCTAATTTCCCTTTGCCCATGAGGATATCTTCGAAGCTTTTGCTTTCTCTTTTTTTAAACAGATGAAGAAAACTGGGGTAAGTTTGCCTTTCGTAAATGTTTTGCCACACACACAAAGGGTTGCAGGTGAAAAGTACAGGCTTTCTGGTTTCCAGGAACATCAAGAACTGTATTTAGGAAATGTCTGAAGCCCAGCTCAATGTCATTGAAAATTGTTAACTATAAGCAATCCTGTAGAATAAAAGGCTAATATGCAAATGACCTCCCCCCCTGGTCAGCCTGGCCCAATTGTCCCTGATCGAGCAAGTCAGCCAGACCCGAATTTGTGCACTGGGCCTCTAGTGTGTGTCTAGTGTGTGTGTGGTACACATTGCATTTATGTGTGTATATATATATATATATAAAATTTCTAACTACAGCTCAGAATTGTGATGTCATGCAGAGATACACATATCTTGATATGTACATACATGCATACAGACTATTTCAAAACAAAATAGAAAAACAGGAGGAAAGATTTTAGGGGTCAAAGTGCTAAGGAGGCTCTGCCTGGGGCACAAGGAGGCTCTGCCTAAAACTAAGCATGAGCAAAAAGAAGAAAACACGGGACTCACAATTTTCACTTCACATTTAGACAATTACCTTCCTTGTTTCTCTCACCAGAAAGACACAAGATCCAAAGGAAAGCTGTAAAGATTAGGACGTAATTGAAAAACAAGACAGGAGCTGAAGTTCGGAGGTTAGGCGATGATAGAATAAGCTAATAAGCTTTTTAACGGGATACCCGGTTTCCATTCTAGCAGGATAAGATAGCAAAGTTCTTATTTCCCCACCATTTGATAATTCATAAAGTCTTCATAATATCATAGCTCCTATGTTGCATGTTCACCTCTCTGGAGCTTGCAATGTAAAACATTTAAACATTTGAATATGTTGCAGAAAAGAAAAAATAGTCTGCCCGCCCTTTTTGCTGAAGGTCTGTTTTGTGATGGTTCACTCAGTAGCAGCGCCCAGATGAAGGATTCCTCTGAAGTGGCTTTTAATCCACCTCTGGCACTTAGTATGTGCTCAGTAAACACCAAGCTGTGGAATCTATTGGATATGGTCCTCA